GTTCTCTCCATGTCAGAGGGGGTTCTCTGCTTAGTAATTCCAGACGTTCTCCATGTCAGAGGGGAGGGTTCTCTGCTTAGTAAATTCCAGACGTTCTCCGTGTCAGAGGGGTGTCTCTGCCTAGTAATTCCAGACGTTCTCCGTGTCAGAGGGGGTTCTGCTTAGTAAATTCCAGACGTTCTCCATGTCAGAGGGGGTTCTCTGCTTAGTAAATTCCAGACGTTCTCCGTGTCAGAGGGGTTCTCTGCTTAGTAAATTCCAGACGTTCTCCGTGTCAGAGGGGTTCTCTGCTTAGTAAATTCCAGACGTTCTCCGTGTCAGAGGGGGTTCTCTGCTTAGTAAATTCCAGACGTTCTCCGTGTCAGAGGGGGTGTCTCTGCTTAGTAAATTCCAGACGTTCTCCGTGTCAGAGGGGGTTCTCTGCTAGTAAATTCCAGACGTTCTCCATGTCAGAGGGGGTTCTCTGCTTGGTAGTAATTCCAGACGTTCTCCATGTCAGAGGGTGGTTCTCTGCTTAGTAAATTCCAGACGTTCTCCGTGTCAGGGTGTTCTCTGCTTGTAAATTCCAGACGTTCTCCATGTCAGAGGGTGTGTCCTGCTTAGTAAATTCCAGACGTTCTCCGTGTCAGAGGGTGTTCTCTGCTTAGTAAATTCCAGACGTTCTCCATGTGTCAGAGGGGTTCTCTGCTTAGTAAATTCCAGACGTTCTCCGTGTCAGAGGGGGTTCTCTGCTTAGTAAATTCCAGACGTTCTCCGTGTCAGAGGGGGTTCTCTGCTTAGTAAATTCCAGACGTTCTCCGTGTCAGAGGGGTGTTCTCTGCTTAGTAAATTCCAGACGTTCTCCGTGTCAGAGGGTGTTCTCTGCTTAGTAAATTCCAGACGTTCTCCGTGTCAGAGGGTGTTCTCTGCTTAGTAAATTCCAGACGTTCTCCGTGTCAGAGGGTGTTCTCTGCTTAGTAAATTCCAGACGTTCTCCGTGTCAGAGGGTGTGTCTCTGCTTAGTAAATTCCAGACGTTCTCCGTGTCAGAGGGTGGGGTTTCTCTGCTTAGTAAATTCCAGACGTTCTCCGTGTCAGAGGGTGTTCTCTGCTTAGAAAATTCCAGACGTTCTCCGTGTCAGAGGGTGTGTCTCTGCTTAGTAAATTCCAGACGTTCTCCGTGTCAGAGGGTGTTCTCCTGCTTGGTAAATTCCAGACGTTCTCCGTGTCAGAGGGGGTTTCTCTGCTTGGTAAATTCCAGACGTTCTCCGTGTCAGAGGGGTGTTCTCTGCTTGGTAAATTCCAGACGTTCTCCGTGTCAGAGGGTGTTCTCTGCTTGGTAAATTCCAGACGTTCTCCGTGTCAGAGGGTGTTCTCTGCTTAGGTAAATTCCAGACGTTCTCCGTGTCAGAGGGTGTTCTCCTTGTCAGAGGGTTTCTCTGTCTTGTCCTGCTTAGTAAATTTCCAGACGTTCTCCGTGTCAGAGGGGGTTCTCTGCTTAGTAAATTCCAGACGTTCTCCGTGTCAGAGGGGGTTCTCTGCTTAGTAAATTCCAGACGTTCTCCGTGTCAGAGGGGTTCTCTGCTTGGTAAATTCCAGACGTTCTCCGTGTCAGAGGGGGTTTCTCTGCTTGGTAAATTCCAGACGTTCTCCGTGTCAGAGGGTGTTCTCTGCTTGGTAAATTCCAGACGTTCTCCGTGTCAGAGGGTGTTCTCTGCTTGGTAAATTCCAGACGTTCTCCGTGTCAGAGGGTGTGTTCCTGCTAAATTCCAGACGTTCTCCGTGTCAGAGGGTGTTAAAAATTCCAGATAGTTCTCCGTGTCAGAGGGGGTTCTCTGCTTAGTAAATTCCAGACGTTCTCCGTGTCAGAGGGTGTTCTCTGCTTGGTAAATTCCAGACTGTTCAGAGAGGGTGTTCTCTGCTTGGTAAATTCCAGACGTTCTCCGTGTCAGAGGGGTGTCCTGCTTAGTTCTCTGCTTCTCTGCTTAGTAAATTCCAGACGTTCTCCGTGTCAGAGGGGTTCTCTGCTTGGTAAATTCCAGACGTTCTCCGTGTCAGAGGGTGTTCTCTGCTTAGTAAATTCCAGACGTTCTCCGTGTCAGAGGGTGTTCTCTGCTTGGTAAATTCCAGACGTTCTCTCCGTGTCAGAGGGGAATTCTCTGCTGCTTGGTAAATTCCAGACGTTCTCCGTGTCACTGCTTTTATTTCCTTGTCTACAGATGTTCCCATCCTGTCAGGAACCACAGAGCTCCCCACCTGATTTTCTCGCCTCCAGTCCTACACCACCTCTTCTGTCTCCTCCTGCGAAGGTGCCTAGATGGGGCCTGGTCCCGCTCTTCCAGAGCGTCCGTACTAAGCTGGAGAGCTTTGCTGAAATTTTTTTTTTGTCCCCCAAGAAGAGTCGTCCGGAGACACAAAATGTGGAGGAGCCTCCGTCACCCAGTGTCTCCACTAGAGAGGAGAATTCTGCTGCAGATGGAGATTCCCATCAGTCTCTGCACTCTGAAGGACATCCTTCCAGATCTTCTGACACTCCATCCCGATATCAGGCCGAGGAGAACGGAAAGTCCCTTTCTCCGGCCTCCAGAACAGACATGAACCTTCAGCTGAAGATTGAGATCTCCAGTCCTGTTTCCACATTGCACCGCCCGCGCCCCTCCAGCGCTGTCTGTCCTGCCCCTTACTGCCCCATCGGCCACGGAGAGGTACAGCCTGGAGGCAGCAGAGCCGGATGTCCCAGTGTGTTCCTGCAAAGCCAAGGTCTCCAGGAAAAGGAGGCACAGTGTGGGCACCATAGAGGAATGCCGCAAATTGCCGTTGTCACCCATCTCCCTATCCTGCTTGAAAAAGGAGAAGCACCCGTCTGCCCTCTGGACAAACTGCCAGCCGGAAAGTGTTCTGCAGTATGCCATTAGGTATGGAGCCACCAATCCACCATAGATCGGTCCCTTCATCTGAACGACTCACAGTCCATGCCTATGATCTGCTACCGAGACCAGAACCATTGTCTGCCCATGTGTGTACGGTGGGGTCTTTGTCTGCCCATGTGTGTACGGTGGGGTCTTGTCTGCCCATGTGTGTACGGTGGGGTCGTTGTCTGCCCATGTGTGTACGGTGGGGTCGTTGTCTGCCCGTGTGTGTACTGTGGGGTCGTTGTCTGCCCGTGTGTGTACGGTGGGGTCGTTGTCTGCCCATGTGTGTACGGTGGGGTCGTTGTCTGCCCATGTGTGTACGGTGGGGTCGTTGTCTGCCCATGTGTGTACGGTGGGGTCGTTGTCTGCCCATGTGTGTACGGTGGGGTCGTTGTCTGCCCATGTGTGTACGGTGGGGTCGTTGTCTGCCCATGTGTGTACGGTGGGGTCGTTGTCTGCCCATGTGTGTACGGTGGGGTCGGTATTGTCTGCCCATGTGTGTACGGTGGGGTCGTTGTCTGCCCATGTGTGTACGGTGAGGTATTGTCTGCCCATGTGTGTACGGTGGGGTCGTTGTCTGCCCACGTGTGTACGGTGGGGTCGTTGTCTGCCCACGTGTGTACGGTGAGGTATTGTCTGTCTGCCACGTCTGTACGGTGGGGTCGTCGCCCATGTGTCTGCCCCTGGTGAGGTCTCTCTCGGTGCGGGGGGGGTCTCTCTCTCTCGTGCGGGGGGGGGTCTCTCTCTCGGTGCGGGGGGAGGTCTCTCTCTCGGTGCGGGGGGGGGGGGTCTCTCTCTCTCGCGGTGCGGGGTGGTGTCTCTCTCGCGGTGCGGGGTGGTGTCTCTCTCGCGGTGCGGGGTGGTGTCTCTCTCTCTGCGGGGGGGTCTCTCTCTCGTGCGGGGTGGTGTGTCTTTCTCGGTGCGGGGTGGGGTCTCTCTCTCAATGCGGGGTGGTGTCTCTCTCTCGGTGCGGGGGGGGTCTCTCTCTCAATGCGGGGTGGTGTCTCTCTCTCGGTGCGGGGGGGGGGGGTCTCTCTCAATGCGGGGTGGGTGTCTCTCTCGTGTGTCGGTGGTGGGGTGGTGTCTCTCTCTCGGTGCGGTGCGGGGTGGTGTCTCTCTCTCGGTGCGGGGTGGTGTCTCTCTCTCGGTGCGGGGGGGGGGTCTCTCTGCAATGGGGGGTGGGGTCTCTCTCAATGCGGGTGGTGGTGTCTCTCTCTCGGTGCGGGGGGGGTCTCTCTCTCGGTGCGGGGTGGGGGTCTCTCTCTCAATGCGGGGTGGTGTCTCTCTCTCGGTGCGGGGTGGTGTCTCTCTCTCTCGGTGCGGGGTGGTGTCTCTCTCTCGGTGCGGGGTGGTGTCTCTCTCTCGGTGCGGGGTGGTATCTCTCGGTTCAAGGGTCTCCCTCTCGGTGCGGGGGGTCTCCCTCGGTGCGGGGGGTCTCCCTCGGTGCGGGGGGGTCTCCCTCGGTGCGGGGGGTCTCTCTCGGTTCAAGGGTCTCCCTCTCAGTGCGGGGGGTCTCTCTCTCGGTGCGGTGTCTCTCTCTCGGTCGGTGCGGGGTGGTGTCTCTCTCGGTGCGGGGGTGGTGTCTCTCTCAATGCGGGGTGGTGTCTCTCTCTCAATGCGGGGTGGTGTCTCTCTCTCGGTGCGGGGTGGTGTCTCTCGGTTCAAGGGTCTCCCTCTCGGTGCGGGGTGGTGTCTCTCGGTTCAAGGGTCTCCCTCTCGGTGCGGGGGGTCTCCTCTCTCTCAGTGCGGGGTGGTGTCTCTCTCTCGGTGCGGGGTGGTGTGTCTCTCTCTCGGTGCGGGGTGGTGTCTCTCTCTCTCGGGGGGCGGGGTGGTGTCTCTCTCTCGGTGCGGGGGTGTGGTGTCTCTCTCTCGGTGCGGGGTGGGTGTCTCTCTCTCTCGGTGCGGGGGGTCTCTCTCTCGGGGCGGGGGGTCTCCCTCTCAGTGCGGGGGGTCTCTCTCGGTGCGGGGGGTCTCTCTCGGTGCGGGGGGTCCCTCAGTGTGGCTGTCTTCCTTCCTCATGGTTGTCCCTCATCCCGCTTGTCATGTTTTCCTTCCCTCCAGCTCCCCGCCTGGCCGGTGTTTGGATGCAGTGACAGGGACGGAGGAGGGGAATCTCGGGGGCGCTGACACTGCAGGGGAATCTGATCCTCTCTCTCAGTGTAAGGTGAGAAGATGGACATTTAAAGGGGAACTCCAGGCAGACAGTAGTCAGTGAAATGGATAATTGCCCCCATGTGTCTCTATGTTCCCCTCCTGCACTCCCCTGTACCTGGAAGGCGAAATTGGGGCTCTGTTACCTCTCAGTGTTGGCCAATGGGGGGAAACCTACCAGAGAGGAGGGAGTACCCCGGAACCCCCCAATATGCTGCTGGTACTTTATTCCTAGTGTGGGGGGGGGGGGGGGGACCAAGGGAGCAGAACTTCAGCGTCTCTTCCTGTAGTCCCCACCATATGGACCATTGGGGGGCTCTTTGGTAGGACAGGCGTGTAATGGGGATCCCCGATCTCTGGCCTGGAGTTCTCCTTTAATGCTGGACCTTGCGGGACTTTCAGGGAGTCACAACGAGCTCTGACTTCTCTTACAGGAGACCAAGGAGTGCAAAGTGTCCAACATTCAGATACGGAAGAGAGTGGCGAGGCAAGAAGGGACTCTCACGCCGATGGGCCTCCCCAAACGTCTCCGGTAAGAGAATGCCAAAGGTGGGGCCTCCACAATGACGGGGACTCCACAATGACGGGGCCTCCACAATGACTCCACAATGACGGGGCCTCCACAATGACTCCACAATGACGGGGCCTCCACAATGACTCCACATTGACGGGGCCTCCACAATGACCCCACATTGACGGGGTCCTCCACATTGACGGGGTCCTCCACAATTGATGGGTCCTCCACATTGACGGGGCCTCCACAATGAATCCACATTGACGGGGCCTCCACAATGACTCCACAATGACGGGGCATCCACAATGAATCCACATTGACAGGGCCTCCACATTGACGGGGCCTCCACAATGACTCCACATTGACGGGGTCCTCCACATTGACGGGTCATCCACATTGACGGGGCCTCCACAATGACTCCACATTGACGGGTCATCCACAATGAATCCACATTGACGGGTCATCCACATTGACGGGTCCTCCACAATGACTCCACATTGACGGGGCCTCCACAATGACTCCACATTGACGGGGGTCCTCCACATTGACGGGTCCTCCACAATGACTCCACAATGACGGGGCCTCCACAATGAATCCACATTGACGGGTCATCCACATTGACGGGGCCTCCACAATGACTCCACATTGACGGGGCCTCCACAATGAATCCACATTGACGGGGCCTCCATCCACACATTGACGGGTCCTCCACAATGACTCCACATTGACGGGGCCTCCACAATGACTCCACATTGACGGGTCCTCCACATTGACGGGGCCTCCACAATGACTCCACAATGACGGGGCCTCCACAATGAATCCACATTGACGGGGCCTCCACAATGAATCCACATTGACGGGTCCTCCACAATGACTCCACATTGACGGGTCCTCCACATTGACGGGTCCTCCACAATGACTCCACAATGACGGGGCCTCCACAATGAATCCACATTGACGGGGCCTCCACAATGAATCCACATTGACGGGTCCTCCACAATGACTCCACATTGACGGGGCCTCCACATTGACGGGGCCCCCACTGGGATGAATAGTGAGGTGGAGGAGCACATTTTGCGGCTGTTATCATGTAAGTTGTGTGATTTCTCAATCGAACATCACAGGTCACACGTTACAGGTCACACGTCACAGGTCACACGTCACGGGGGACACATTACACGTCACACGCCACAGGACACAAAGTGCTTCATATGTATGACTACTTGGGCTATGCTGCCACCTTCAGGTGAATGGACATTGGCCAGGAAAAGGCAGGAATCCCCGCCCGCACATAGCCCCTCCCACCTCCACTAAGGCTCTGTTTTTCGGTAGTGTCCTTGAGTGATAGATGTGTCCATGATGACTCTGAAGATTTCTCTCAGACCACTTCATGGTCTGTTCAGTCCCACTTCATGGTCTGTTCAGTCCCACTTCATGGTCTGTTCAGTCCCACTTCATGGTCTGTTCAGTCCCACTTCATGGTCTGTTCAGTCCCACTTCATGGTCTGTTCAGTCCCACTTCATGGTGTCAGTCCCACTTCATGGTCTGTTCAGTCCCACTTCATGGTGTCAGTCCCACTTCATGGTGTCAGTCCCACTTTATGGTGTCAGTCCCACTTCATGGTCTGTTCAGTCCCACTTCATGGTGTGAGTCCCAGTTCATGGTCTCTTCTGCCTTGATTGGTCACCTGAGTCTGAGAGGAACTGTACCCAGACCCCATGTGAGTGGGGACAGCCTCTAATGTTGATCCTGCAGACCCCCGGGGTACTCGCTGTCAGTGTGCTCCACAGGTCCAGGGTGATGGTCACCTGGGGATGGGGGGGATGGAGTACCTGAAGACCCTCCTGTATGAGGGTGTGGCCTTTTGGTCTGCTGGTAAGGAATGGTGGTCCTCGATGGTGGAATATTTGGCCGTTTCCCTTGGTTCTTCACACTGGTCAGCCATGTTTAATCCCCCAGTCATGAAAACATGCAATCTGCAGCCTCTGGGCACAGCCGCAGTCTCTTCAAGTATTGGGGTACATGTTCAGGGAGTGACTTGGGGGGTGTCGGGGGTGACCAGGAGTCACTTGGCTGTCTGGCCTTGGCAAAGACTCCTCTGAGCTGGTTGGCTGCTTCCTTGTTGGGTTACAGACCTCCTGTCCCTCAGAAAGCCATGGCAGAGAGGAGGACTTCCTAGTCCTTCTATGAGGTAGGGTGAGGGGACGTCTGATGGTCTCTGAGGCTGTCCAAGGGGGGTCATCGCTCGCGTGCTGGAGGAGAAGAGGTCTCACGGCTTCTACTCCAACCTGAATCCTAACAGGGACTTCTGGCCTGGGACAAACATTCCGGGTGGGATCTACCCAGTCCGTGTTTTCTTTGCTTCATTAGGGGGACTTCCTAGTGTCCGTGGATATCAAGGATGACACACACTATGGTTCTCCAGCCTCACCAATGGATTCTGCAGGTCTCCATGGAGGGTCGCCACTACCAGTATGTGGTGGTTGATATTTGGCCTTTTCATATTTATTCCCCACCCAAAAAAAAAGGGGCGGACTCGATGGAGCACTCGGTCTTTTTCTGCTGTCACTTTTCTATGTGTAGGCCCCAGCTCTGGGGTTGTTGAGATTCCCATTGTGGGGGACCTAAATGGCAAAGTGCTCAGACATGGACTTCAAATGCCCAGCAGATGGGACAGGTCCTAGAAAGATTCAGTCATGTGCTGAACCTTCTGAAGTTCGCTCGGGTTCCGACACAATTTTATCTTCGACCAAGACATGGCACAGGTCTGAAGGAACTTCTTCCACAGGAGAAATGCCGGTCTCTAATACATTCTAGGTTCAATCCATCTACAATGTCCCTCAGATAACAGTCAGGGGTGTATATTTGGGAATGTCTCTTTTTCTGACATGCGTTGCTGATAGACGCATGTTATTACAATGGCACACAATAGATTTGTATCGGGTAGTTTTATGATATGAAGGCAGCAATTCATTTATCATCAATAGATTTAGGTCATTTTGGGTATTTTTGATGAGATATTTTCATTGTTGTTTTATGTTACAATAAATTTTCTGCAGATGTATCATTTTCTATAGCAATGAATGGCCCATCATCCATGGATTGTTTACAATGGATTTGTCATTTGAATGATGTTTGTATTGTCATATGTTGATATAGAGCATGTGGAGAGTACATGCTACATGAGGATCCTGGGACATACACGGTATCTGATACATGACACACTCTGATAAATTACATGTCATTGCTACAAAAGAGTTATATTGTCATTAATAGCTCTCAGGAGAGATAAACGGTTATGACCCCAAAAAGATGGAGGAACCAGTTAGAACTACAAGAAAAAAATGGCGCCCTAACACTATATAAGGAGTTGGGTGTTGTGATTGTCATACTACATCCCCCGGACGAAGCCAGGAATCCCTGTGGAGATACGTGTTGGGGAGGGGCAGTGTGTGACGTCACCACGCTTACACGGCGAGCACTGGTAGTGTATGTGAGCGCCCCCGAGAGGCTGCTCTCCACCGCTTTATACAAAGTGCAGATTGTGTCTAATCAATGTGAGCGCATATTAGAGTGTTGATTATTATCCACGATAAAGCACTCTGCACTTTTCTCTACATGATCCGTATGAGGGATTCTTTATGGGCGGGATCAAGGGAAGATCTGAGGAGGGAGAGATCTGTATGAGGATGCTTTATGGGCGGGATCAAGGGAAGATCTGAGGAGGGAGAGATCCGGATGAGGGATGCTTTATGGGCGGGATCAAGGGATGATCCGAGGAGGGAGAGAGATCCGTATGAGGGATGCTTTATGGGCGGGATCAAGGGAAGATCTGAGGAGGGAGAGATCCGGATGAGGGATGCTTTATGGGCGGGATCAAGGGAAGATCTGAGGAGGGAGAGATCCGGATGAGGGATGCTTTATGGGCGGGATCAAGGGATGATCCGAGGAGGGAGAGATCCGTATGAGGGATGCTTTATGGGCGGGATCAAGGGAAGATCTGAGGAGGGAGAGATCCGGATGAGGGATGCTTTATGGGCGGGATCAAGGGATGATCCGAGGAGGGAGAGATCCGTATGAGGGATGCTTTATGGGCGGGATCAAGGGAAGATCTGAGGAGGGAGAGATCTGTATGAGGGATGCTTTATGGGCGGGATCAAGGGAAGATCCGAGGAGGGAGAGATCCGTATGAGGGATGCTTTATGGGCGGGATCAAGGGAAGATCCGAGGAGGGAGAGATCCGTATGAGGGATGCTTTATGGGGCGGGATCAAGGGAAGATCTGAGGAGGGAGAGATCCGTATGAGGGATGCTTTATGGGCGGGATCAAGGGAAGATCTGAGGAGGGATCCGTATGAGGGATGCTTTATGGGCGGGATCAAGGGAAGATCCGAGGAGGGAGAGATCCGTATGAGGGATGCTTTATGGGCGGGATCAAGGGAAGATCCGAGGAGGGAGAGATCCGTATGAGGAATGCTTTATGGGCGGGATCAAGGGAAGATCTGAGGAGGGAGAGATCCGTATGAGGGATGCTTTATGGGCGGGATCAAGGGAAGATCTGAGGAGGGAGAGATCCGTATGAGGGGATGCTTTATGGGCGGGATCAAGGGGAAGATCTGAGGAGGGAGAGATCCGTATGAGGGATGCTTTATGGGCGGGATCAAGGGAAGATCTGAGGAGGGAGAGATCCGTATGAGGGATGCTTTATGGGCGGGATCAAGGGAAGATCTGAGGAGGGAGAGATCCGTATGAGGGATGCTTTATGGGCGGGATCAAGGGAAGATCTGAGGAGGGAGAGATCCGTATGAGGGATGCTTTTATGGGCGGGATCAAGGGAAGATCTGAGGAGGGAGAGATCCGTATGAGGGATGCTTTATGGGCGGGATCAAGGGAAGATCTGAGGAGGGAGAGATCCGTAGGACCGTTCCGGCTCACATAGTAGCCATCTATCTGCACCCTTCACCTGCATCACCTCCGGCTGATTGGACGGAGAGCACTCAGATATTTCATCCCCGACACCTCTGCACCAAGTTTGTTTTGCGTTTTTGCACAAAATTCATTGAATTTTTACCTTTTTTTTTCGATTTTTATTTTTGATATTTATTATTTTATTGAATATTTATTTAATGATCGAAGGACACACATTTGAATAATTTTGCACAGACTTTTTTTTTTTTTTTTATCACCAATTTGGATATATATTTTTCTCATTTATTGATTATTATCAGCACATATTTGGGTATTGATCGGCATTACCATCCTGTATGGTTACACAAGATGGGGGAACGTGGTTGGTGTGTTAGATGTGGTCTCCTATCATCTCGGCGTGGGACAAACATCGGGAGTCCTTGGATCTGCCTGTGTGTCCGACTCCTAAGATCGGATTGGTTCTGGAGTGGTGGATATCCATTCAGATGCTGGATACCTCCTTCCTTCTGATGAATTGGAAGGTCAGCTAGAAGTCCTACATTCCGGGCCGTTCCTTATGGTCAGACTGGCATCTCCTGGTACAATGGTAGGTGACATTGGTGTCACGGAGAATCACCAGGACTTGGGGGAAGGTTAGACCTTCAGTGCTGTGTGTCCCCATTGGGGAGATTCACCCCTCCCCGATCTGCTATTGTGACTGAGAAATAAAGAGAGGAAATCCAACATTTCTGTCCCCAGAACAGGAAGTGAGGGAAGAGGAGAATTCCACCTCACTTTGTGAGATGTCCTCCAACTTCCTGTTGTGTTTTCTGGGGAAGGAGGTGAAGGGAAACATCCTCAATACCTCTACACCTGCCATGTAGTATGGAGTCCGGGAGCAGTGTGCGCTACATTGTCTGATATACCTCTACACCCGCCATGTAGTATGGAGTCCGGGAGCAGTGTGTGCTACAGTGTGCAGGCTGCCCATGGATGAGGGAACACGCAACCTCCTCCCAGGCTGCCAATATACGAGGGAACATGTGACCTCCTCCCAGGCTGCCCATGTACGAGGGAACATGCGACCTCCTCCCAGGCTGCCCATGGACGAGGGAACATGCGACTTCCTCCCAGGCTGCTAATGTATGAGGGAACATGCGACCTCCTCCCAGTCTGCCCATGTACGAGGGAACATGCGACCTCCTCCCAGGCTGCCCATGGATGAGGGAACATGCGACTTCCTCCCAGGCTGCTAATGTATGAGGGAACATGCGACCTCCTCCCAGTCTGCCCATGTACATGGGAACATGCGACCTCCTCCCAGGCTGCCCATGGACGAGGGAACATGCGACCTCCTCCCAGGCTGCCCATGGACGAGGGAACATGCGACCTCCTCCCAGGCTGCCCATGGACGAGGGAACATGCGGCCTCCTCCCAGGCTGCCCATGGACGAGGGAACCTGTGACCTCCTCCTAGGCTGCCCATGTACATGGGAACCTGTGACCTCCTCCCAGGCTGCCCATGTACATGGGAACCTGTGACCTCCTGCTGGGTGGAAAGGGTTACAGTCTCTGTCAGGTTTACATTGCGGTCCAAACACGGCCTCATACACCGGGACCCCTGCGAGGGTCTTAGATCTGCAATCTGATGTCTGTCTGTCTGTCTTCTACAGATTGCAAAAAGACGACTTCAGCCTGGAAGAGATCTACACCAACAAGAATTACCGTACACCCACTGAGAAGAGGTCAGCAGATGGCCTTCATGTCACCATGGTCTCTGGAAAGGAAGCTGGAGGGGTGTGTGAGCCTTGTGACCGGTGTGGTCGGGGAGGGGTGCGAGCCCAGTGATCGGTGTGGTCGGGGAGGGGTGCGAGCCCAGTGATCGGTGTGGTCGGGGAGGGGTGCGAGCCCAGTGATCGGTGTGGTCGGGGAGGGGTGCGAGCCCAGTGATCGGTGTGGTCGGGGAGGGGTGCCCCAGTGATCGGTGTGGTCGGGGAGGGGTGCGAGCCCAGTGATCGGTGTGGTCGGGGAGGGGTGCGAGCCCAGTGACCGGTGTGGTCGGGGAGGGGTGCGAGCCCAGTGACCGGTGTGGTCGGGGAGGGGTGCGAGCCCAGTGACTGCTGTGTGGTCGGGGAGGGGTGCGAGCCCAGTGACTGCTGTTTGGTGGTCGGGGAGGGGTGCAAGCCCAGTGATCGGTGTGGTCGGGGAGGGGTGCAAGCCCAGTGATCGGTGTGGTCGGGGAGGGGTGCGAGCCCAGTCAGCAGTGTGGTCGGGGGTTGAGAGGTATGAGCCCAGTCACTAGGGCAGTACAGTTTACAAAAATTTGGAAGCAGCAGAGGAGATGGACCAATATGTGTGTGGTGCGATGGAAGGATTCGCGTGTGTTGCTGTGGTGGAAGGATTCGCGTGTGTTGCTGTGGTGGAAGGATCCGCGTGTGTTGCTGCGGTGGAAGGATCCGCGTGTGTTGCTGCGGTGGAAGGATCCGCGTGTGTTGCTGCGGTGGAAGGATCGCGTGTGTTGCTGCGGTGGAAGGATCCGCGTGTGTTGCTGCGGTGGAAGGATCCGCGTGTGTTGCTGCGGTGGAAGGATCCGCGTGTGTTGCTGCGGTGGAAGGATCCGCGTGTGTTGCTGCGGTGGAAGGATCCGCGTGTGTTGCTGCGGTGGAAGGATCCGCGTGTGTTGCTGCGGGGGAACGAGCCGCGTGTTGCTGCGGGGGAACGAGCCGCGTGTTGCTGCGGCGGAATAATCCTTGTATTTCTGCGGTGGAATGATTCGTGTGTGTTGCTGCGGGTGGAAGGATCCGTGTGTGTTGCTGCGGTGGAAGGATTCGTGTGTGTTGCTGCGGTGGAAGGTTCCGTGTGTGTTGCGGGTGGAATGATCCGTGTGTGTTGCTGCGGTGGAATGATCCGTGTGTGTTGCTGCGGCGGAAGGATCCGTGTGTGTTGCTGCGGTGGAATGATCCACGTATGTTGCTGCGGTGGAATGATCCGTGTCTCTTCCCTCCATACAGAAAATTTGAGACCATATTCGAGGAGCCGGTAATGAAGGGTGGATCTCTCATCCTTACAAGCCAGCGCCCGCTGAGGAGGATTATGGTGTTTAAGGACAGCAGCGCCCCACGTAGGAGGAAGAAGAAAGGGCGGGGAGGTGGGCGCACCCGCAGCTGTGTGGACAACAAAGAAAGTGTGAACTTCGAATTGTTACTGCAACACAAACTGGAGCAGCTGGAGGCGGAACTACAGGAGGAGGAGGTGGAGCTGCACTAGATGATGTCACCGCGACTACGGCCTTATTGTTCTGCTGGGGCCGGCTCATCTTGTAGTCATTTGTCTTCTGGGGCTGCCATATCTGGTGGTCATCTGTCTCCTGGAGCCGGCTGAAGTGGTAGTTGCCTATCCTCTGGGGCCGGTTGACGCTGTAGTTGCCTATCCACCGGGGCTGGTTGACGTGGTAGTTGCCTATCCTCCGGGGCCGGTTGAAATGGTAGTCGCCTATCCACCGGGGCTGGTTGAAGTGGTCGTCGCCTATCCTCCTGGGTCAGTTCAAGTGGTAGTTGCCTATCCACCGGGGCTGATTGACGTGGTAGTTGCCTATCCTCCTGGGCCGGTTGAAATTGTAGTCGCCTATCCACCGGGGCTGGTTGACGTGGTAGTTGCCTATCCTCCTGGGCCGGTTGAAATTGTAGTCGCCTATCCACCGGGGCTGGTTGAAGTGGTAGTCGCCTATCCTCTGGGGCTGGTTGACGTGGTAGTCGCCTATCCTCTGGGGCTGGTTGACGTGGTAGTTGCCTATCCTCTGGGGCCGGTTGACGTGGTAGTTGCCTATCCTCTGGGGCCGGTTGACGTGGTAGTTGCCTATCCTCTGGGGCCGGTTGACGTGGTAGTTGCCTATCCTCTGGGGCCGGTTGACGTGGTAGTTGCCTATCCTCTGGGGCCGGTTGACGTGGTAGTTGCCTATCCTCTGGGGCCGGTTGACATGGTAGTTGCCTATCCTCTGGGGCCGGTTGACGTGGTAGTTGCCTATCCTCCGGGGCTGGTAGAAATGTTAGTTGTCTATCCTCTGGCGCCGATTGACATGGCAGTCACCTATCCACCTGGGACCGCTGAAGTGGCAGTCTCCCATCCATTGGGGCTGGCTGAAGTGACAGTCGCCTATCCTCTGGGGCCGGTTGTAGTCGCCTATCCTCTGGGGCCAGTTGAAATGGTAGTTGCCTATCCTCTGGGGCCGGTTGAAATGGTAGTTGCCTATCCTCCGGGGCCGGCTGAAGTAGTTGTCTACACGCTGTGAGTTGAGGATATTGGAAAGCCCAGTTTGCGTTGTTGCTGATCGCAGAGTCCCGATCCATTGTATAATGTATGTATTGTATCTGCAACTTCCGTTCTGTTCACTAATAAATACTGTGCCTGGTTTTCCTTACCGCCGGGGTACGGCGTGACACTCGTGGTACAAGGAGGGGCGGGGACTCGGGCCTAGCTACCCAATGCTACTGGAGTAATAGAGACAACAGAAGGTTTGGCAGTGGGTGTGTGTCAATTTTAGAACTTCTTCCCCCCCCCCCCCAAACCAACCAATGGGAATGCAAGATCAGCTGCAGGTCAGGAGGAGATTTACCTGGAGGTCAGCGGCAATTCAGGAGATCAACATAAGGTCAGCTGCAGGTCAGGAGGACAATCCAGGTAGAAGGCTGGCTCAGTTTACCTGACCAGCCACGTCTTTAATCCCACTTCTGACACCATTCGATGGGAATCGGCCTATGTCTGCAGCCCCTTGTTATTTCCACCCTCAGGCCTGGGAGGAATAAATCTCCGGACACCGACGTGTGCACGCTACATCTCTGAAAGTTTAATACATGACAAGAACGGTTATACAGAACTCAGTAGGCGTGGCTTATTCTCAGGATGACCAATGAAACATTCCATTCTTATCAGTATAGTTACGTGAAGAACAGAAACAGCGACTAGCTGAGAGAGACCAGAGAAGGTGGTTCCAGTGACATGGAAACAGTTGAGGGAGACCATAGAAGGTGGTTCCAGTGACATGGAAACAGTGACTGAGAGGAGACCATAGAAGGTGGTTCCAGGGACATGGAAACAGTTGAGGGAGGCCATAGAAGGTGGTTCCAGTGACATGGAAACAGTTGAGGGAGACCATAGAAGGTGGTTCCAGTGACATGGAAGCAGTTGAGGGAGACCATAAAGGTGGTTCCGGGTACAGTGACATGGAAGCAGTTGAGGGAGACCATAAAAGGTGGTTCCGGGTTCAAGTGACATGGAAGCAGTTGAGGGAGACCATAGAAGGTGGTTCCGGTTCAAGTGATATGGAAGCAGTTGAGGGAGACCATAAAAGGTGGTTCCAGTGACATGGAAGCAGTTGAGGGAGACCATAAAAGGTGGTTCCGGGTACAGTGACACGGAAACTATTCTCAGTTTCGGTTTTGTAACTTCTCTCTCGTTTTCTAACTTCACACATCTCCAGATGGAGGCATTATACAACATGGATGACAGCTACTAAGACATCTCCTTCCATGGAGGTCAGAGGTAATTCAGGAGGAGATTAACAAAGGTCAGCTGCAGGGCAGGAGATCAACTGGAGGCCAGCTGCAGGTCAGAAGATCAACTGCAGGTCAGGAGATCAACTGGAGTTCAGTAGGTGATTAACTGGTGGTCAGCTGTAGGGACGAGGTCAGCTGCAGGTAGGAGGAGATCAACAGGAGGTCAGCTGCAGGTCAGGAGGAGATCAACAGGAGGTCAGCTGCAGATAAGGAGGAGATCAACAGGAGGTCAGGAGGAGATCAACAGGAGGTCAGCTGCAGCTTAGGAGGAGATCAACAGGAGGTCAGCTGCAGGTCCAGAAGAGGTCAGGAGGAGGTTGGCTGCATTGATCAGTGAATTCTGAATGTTCTGTGAACACACCGGAGCGCCCTCTACAGTTGCCCCAACCCATTGACGCAGTGGTGTTGGATTTCTTCTGATTTCCCGGACATGTTGGACACGGAATGTTTTCAGATATTAAACCAAACTGACATTTTCTTTTCCACTTTGTGCCTTTTGTATGTGACCATCCTGCACGGTATATTCCCATGGCAACACGTATAAAAGGCTACAAATCCAACCTCTGTGTCTTCCGGCCAAAGTGACAAAAGCCATAGATAGGAAGAGCTTTTATTACAGATAACAATGAAGGAACGCCATCATCGTTTACACATTACAGAGAATAGAACAGAAGATGCAGAAAGGAAAACGAAGGAAACATATCAGGACGACCCCAAACATTCCTCCAATCTATGAATAGTAGAAAGGTCCGGTCCCAGCATGTAGGCCCTTTACAGAACCATCTAGAGGGGGTGACTGGGGACAAAGAGAAGGACAATGTATGAAATCCCTTCTTCAGCTCTGTGTATATAAAGGAGCATGGGGGGGCTCTTGTCCATAATGGGCGTGGTACTGACACCCCCCGATGATCCACATTGGCTCACAATTGATATGATCCAGAAATATTATAGAATAAAGGTGAATAAAGCCCGTGGACCGGATGGCATACACCCACGGGGCCTTACAGAATTCAGCTCTGTCATCTCACAGCCATTGTTTCTCATTTTTAGGGACTCTTTAATGACTGGCATAGTACCACGGGATTGGTGTAAGGCCAATGTGGGGCCAATATTTATAAAGGGGTCAAAATCCTTCCCAAATTATTACAGACCTGTTAGTGTCACTTCTATAGTTGGGAAGATACTGGAGAGTTTAATAGAAGACCACATAGATGAGTTCTTCCTGGAAACTTGGACAGAGGGGTGGCGGTGGACGTGGTATACTTGGACAGAGGGGTGGCAGTGGACGTGGTATACTTGGACAGAGGGGGTGGTGGATGTGGTATACTTGGACAGAGAAGTGGATGTGGTATACTTGGACAGAGGGGGGCGGTGGACATGGTTTACTTGGACAGAGGGGTGGAGTGGACGTGGTATACTTGGACAGAGGGGGGCGGTGGACATGGTTTACTTGGACAGAGGGGTGGACGTGGTATACTTGGACAGAGGGGTGGCGGTGGACGTGGTATACTTGGACAGAGGGGTGGCGGTGGATGTGGTATACTTGGACAGAGAAGTGGATGTGGTATACTTGGACAGAGGGGTGGCGGTGGACATGGTATACTTGGACAGAGGGGTGGAGGTGGTATACTTGGACAGATGGGTGGCGGTGGACGTGGTATACCTGGACAGAGGGGTGGCGGTGGATGTGGTATACTGGGACAGAGGGGTGGCGGTGTTCGTGGTATACTCGGACAGAGGGGTGGCGGTGTTGTTCGTGGTATACTCGGACAGAGGGGTGGCGGTGGACATGGTATACTCGGACAGAGGGATGGCGGTGGGTGTGGTATACTCGGACAGAGGGGTGGCGGTGGATGTGGTATAATCAGACAGAGGGTGGTGGCGGTGGACGCGGTATACCTGGACAGAGGGGTGGCGGTGGACGTGGTATACTCGGACAGAGGGGTGGCGGTGGACGTTGTATACTCGGACAGAGGGGTGGCGGTGGACGTTGTATACTTGGACAGAGGGTTGGCGGTGGATGTGGTATACTTGGACAGAGGGGTGGAGGTGGTATACTTGGACAGAGGGGTGGAGGTGGTATACTTGGACAGAGGGGTGGAGGTGGTATACCTGGACAGAGGGGTGGACGTGGTATACTTGGACAGATAGGTGGCGGTGGACATGGTATACCTGGACAGAGGGAGTGGACGTGGTATACTTGGACATATGGGTGGCGGTGGGACGTGGTATACCTGGACAGAGGGGTGGCGGTGGACGTGGTATACTCGGACAGAGGGGGGTGGCGGTGTTCGTGGTATACTCGGACAGAGGGGTGGCGGTGTTCGTGGTATACTCGGACAGAGGGGTGGCGGTGGGCGTGGTATACTCGGACAGAGGGGTGGTGGACGTGGTATAATCGGACAGAGGGGTGGTGGTGGACGGTTTATACCTGGACAGAGGGGTGGCGGTGGACGCGGTATACCTGGACAGAGGGGTGGCGGTGGACGCGGTATACCTGGACAGAGGGGTGGCGGTGGAGACGTGGTATACTCGGACAGAGGGGTGGCGGTGGATGCGGTACACTTGGACAGAGGGGTGGTGGCGGTGGACGCGGTATACTCGGACAGAGGGGTGGCGGTGGACGTGGTATACTTAGACAGAGGGGTGGCGGTGGACGTGGTATACTCGGACAGAGGGGTGGACGTGGTATACTCGGACAGAGGGGTGGGACGT